AATTGAAGCTATATTTGTGCTAGAAAACGTGGTAAGTACTTATTTAAAATAATGAAATCGTGAAAAAATCGTATTTTTTTTTTGCCTGCTTAATCCTTTTTATTTTAAATACATTTCGAAAATCAAAAAATGACCCCTTTAGAGTAGCATCTAAACAAATTGAGCTTTCAGAAATGTTGCGACACGTAAAAATCAGAGCAAGTTTACGAAAAAATAAGTATGTTCACAGACTAGAACAAAGAAAAAAAGAAATAAACATCTCAGTAACACTAATAGTTCCCTCGCTATGCTCGGGGTCTAAAATAAATCAATTATTATTGTACTCAACTCACCGTTATCTCGTTATGCTAATCGTTTTATGAATTTCTTAAAACAAAATATTACTACTCGAAATTTTACTGAAAATTGAAGAGTTATCAAATAAGAAATAAAATAATGAATTATAAAAATTTGCTTTCGATCAGAATGCAACTTCACTTTTAAAACATACGAAATTAACTTGACGTTAACGCGTTAGGTATACCAAAAAAAAAAAAAAAAAACTAATTTATTAAGTTAAAAATTGATCATATAAAAAAATAACCCGTCAATTGTTAACTGTTTATTAATGTCGACTTAACTTTTTTAAATTGATTTTAACTTTTAACGCATTAATGGTGCACAGCCCCGCTACTAACTGCAGGTATAGAATTGGCGTTTTTTTATTATTATTATTATTTTACGATTATTTTGCGAAACCGACCGTAGGTATAAAACCGCGCGTGTTTCATTCGAAAAACCATTCGGACCTCGGAAATAATAAAACGATATAGCTACGGATGATAGAATTTTTTTTTTTTCCCGTCGGTTTTTACGATATCATATTATTATATACTGATGCACGGATATAACATAAAGGTATCTCTAGAGTGCCATATGATACGCGTTCTTCAATTATTACTTTGTGTATAAAAATGCGCGTATTTTTTAACGATACTTTTTGAGCCCCGACAGCCATTTTCGAAAAAAAAAAAAAAGGGTCTGCGTCGTCGTCGCCGTTGTAAAACTTCTCTACTGCGCTGTTCGAGAAACCAAAATCAACTGTGCTCGATAAACAATACCGCCTACGTTATATTACGTTCGACCCGTATATACTTCCACGGGGTTTTGTTTCCTAGCCCAGACAAGTTGTTCGTACGTCGATCGGACCGTAAACGATACTATCCTAACCTGTGCGGGGCAACAATAATTATAGTAATTCGTGTATGAAAAAACTTATGAAAAACTTCGTGTACAAAAAATGCAAGTAACCCCTGCGAGTTCTAGGGGATTCGAAAAAATAGATAGACGCAGGTATTTTATGTTCAGTTAAATAAACCTGAAATGTCCTAAACAATTTGAACACCACACAATGTAATCGCTCGGTTGTTCAAAAATAAGTACCGTTAGGACTTAATGTGTGGTAAGATTCAAATAAATGGTCTTTTATTCAAATGTGATTACTGATAAACAAGCGAATTCTCAGTTTTTATTAAATATTTATACTGTAGAATTTTCGAAAATGGACAACGGAGATGCAGTATTAATTACACAATGTTAATAAATAATAATTACTCAGTCGAGTTTAGTTAGTTGAAAAAAAAGTTAACGAGATAACACGTTAAAAGATAACCATTTAAAATAATAATTAACTGACTTAAGTTAAAAGTTAATTTTAGTTTTAACTTATTGTCGACACAGTGAAAATTACTAAACCTTGAGTTTAAGTTTTTATGAAAAAAAAGTATTTTATTTAAAACATTTGTTCTTATTTGGAAGATAATGGGTCAGCCTGTTCCGCCATGACGATGGCGTACAATTTTATTATAATTAAAATAAATTGAATTAACTTATTATTTATTAAACTGACATATATGCACAATCACGGAAGTATTTTGCCCCGTTTAGTGGGCAACTATTTTAGGTAATAATTTGGGATGCATAGGGTAATTTAGTTAATATCCGTACGCAATGATAAACTATACCTTGAACGAAAAACTGAGCAAACATTTCGGTTAAACATACTTTGATAAAGTGAAAAATTAAAAAAATTCAAGTTAAGCATTAATTGCCCGTCTTTTTCGTCTAAAATTCTTAAACGTTTTGTGTGCCCTAAACATTCACACAAGTCGGAAAATATAGTACGCGAATAAATGTAGCGATTATTATGATTTTCGGCATAATTAAAATTTTAAACGCTCCTTAAGAAAACAAAATTGTGACCCCGAATTTTCGTTAGTTTTAACTTTTCACACCCCTACACCCGTTGGGACCCACGAAATAGAACCAAGAAGGTGAATATGCATGGTGTACGTAATAATTATTTGCCTTTTGGGGTTTCAACTTTCAACCCCTTCCCTGACCGTTTGTATGCTCAAATTTCGTGCTTGAAGGAGAAATACGGGGTGTTACGTACCTCTAAAATGGATATAATATATAATAAAACTCCGGAACTCGTAAATGATTTTAATTCTTAAAATATATTTAAAAAATATTGCAATTACCACGAGTCACGACTGAGGGAACGTTCGACTCTATACTACGTGTGTAAATAAAAAAAAAAAACCGTTTGAAAAATAAACAAAATCATATTTGCGGCTACGGATTTAATAAATTATTTTCGATAATATTTACGCTGGCCGCGCCGTTGATGTACATTAAGTGAAAACAATTGCGGGCCCCGTGTTAAATGATTAACGAAAATTGACTGGTTAATAATAATTACTATTCTATTTGTTCAGCCAATCAACAACAATATACTGCACGACGAGCTTCAAGCCAAGTTTTACTCGATCATCAATAATGCGCGCGCGTTCGTCAGACCGACGCATAGCCGTCAAATGTTGTCGCGAGCGTTTTAGAACCAATTTAAAACGAACGACCGACTGTTAAAACTGTCGTTTCGTCTATAAAATTGCGTGTTATTTGTATACTGTAATTTAATTTCTGGATTCGCTGCACTATTCTTGGTGTTACGGCAGTACGGTTGCGACCGTAAAGAGGAGTACGATCTATGGTAAAAACGGGGCAGACCTACAGGTTACCGCTGAAACTATTGGGTGATATAGGGCGAACTATACTTGAACCCATACAATTTACATAACTTAGCTGAACGTTAAAAACTCGTTGACATATAACCGGATCGTGGCTGTAAGACCTGTTCAAATTTTAAATCAAACACATAATTTTTTAGTGTACTATAGCTTCCCCATTCCGTCCCACGTTCCCGTGGACTGGTTTTTTCCTCTATTGCATTCAATATTATAACACGCGACTCGTGCAAACGCATATGTGTTATGAAAAAAAAAAAAAAAAAAATACAATAACCGTAGGTACAAAATATTCGTAGTGAATTTCGTAATATCTTTTATTGATTTTGGCGGATTTATACAAAGAACGATGCTGTGGGGGTATGGATATTATCACGTATGGGCTGCAGCAGTGTGTATATAATATAAATTAATAACGATTAATTTACCATTATACGCATATCGGGGGACCGCGGCCGTCCCGTCCCGCGCGCGTTGCGTTTTCATGAGAAAAAAAAAATATTTCTTTCTCCGAGGGTTTTTTTTTTTAATTTCGACTCGCGTTCGGGTCTCACGCGTGTCCGCCTTTATACTTGCCGTTGTTCGTTTCGAGTAAAACAAAAATTTACGGTAAACACAATTTATTTGATTAAAAATACCTTATTATAAACTGCCGCCGAGGGACGTCTAACCCGGGAATTCATTATAATATACAGCCAGTATACCTAACCGGTGTTTATAAATTGCTTAATAATGTCACGGCGTTTTGGCGTATAAAGAAATTGGCATAATTTCGGAATTAAAATTCAAACGGTTTTCCTGTTCTTCTCGCGACGCGCGCGGAACACTGACACATCCGCCGCGTCCTTTCAGATTTAGCCATAACCTCTCTCTCATTCACTCTCTCTCTCTCTCTCTCTCTCTCCCTCTCTCTCTCTCACCCTCTCTCTTTTTCTCGCTCTGCCTGTCTTCCAGAAGGATAACCGACTTAAATAAATCGTTCTTTCGTTAAATAAATATTATAATATATAAGTACAGTTACCTATATTATACGTCCCTGCTGCAGTATACTATATTCGTATAAAAAATACAATATTCTTATCCGACGCGGTAATACTCGTTAAATATTATATGTATAAAACAAAAATATATGCATAATAATACGAGTAAAAGCGCGCGGACAGAAAGATGATTTTGATTTTTTTCGTTATTTGTATAGAATATAATTTATATATTATACCCGAGGCCGTCCGTTATTATTATTATTTTATAGAATATTATATTATATCGGTGACTTTTAAGCGTTTAGAAATAAAAATTGTTTTTTTTTTTTTTTAATAATATACCATTCTTTAACTTTGCGCGATATTGTTTAAATATTTATACAAAACGCAAAGCTTTACAGCAGTACGAAATCCTAATGCCGAATAATACCTACCCCGTCATCGTCATTGAAATATGCAATAAAAATCGTACTGCGATATTATTATAATATTACGATGACATTAAGTCAAATGTGAATATTAAAATTATATATAATATACGTGTATAATATTATATGCATAATAAAAATATCGTCCTACAAAGGTGATTTAAAAATATAGTAAATAAAAAAAAAACCCCACTCTTTTACCGAATAATGATACGGTCCTCTTTGAGATGTAAAAACGAAAACCGTATCATAGAGAGAGAAAAAAAATCAAATCTAAAATGTCATATTAAAACACAAACATTATACTTTACAACGGTAAAAATATAATTTTATACAGTGTGTATCTCGTTATAATAGTATTAATGTATTCGTCAATTTCATTATTATTATCATTTTTTTTTATTTTTTTCAAATTGTTATGAACAATAACGACGATTGTTTCCGACGACCGGACGGTTAATTTTTCAAATTAAAATTTAATGATATACATTTTATAATAATAACGCAATTTCGCGAAAAAATTTCAAACGGAACAGTACGACACGGTAAAGCCGAAAGACAAGACACCGAGTAAACGCTCGGTCGCGTTATAAGGTCCGGAACAGTAACATCCGAATCGGGTACCCCGTTCAAATATCCACTCTAGTCCCGGGTTAATACGGGTACTATGCTGATCAGGTCCCGTTCCCACGAGTACTGCATTAGTTGGGTTCCAGATTCCCACGGATTGTACACTGTAATTGGGTTTCGAGTTAATAGTGAGTAGAATAGCAGTTCTAAAATATACCCAAGTAGACACTTGCATCAAAATGAGAATATGGAAAAAAACGACGGGAATTCTTTTTACAGAGAGAAAAATGTATGATAAAGGAGAAAATGACTAAAAAAAACAAAACGTAAACGTAACGTAATTCGTTTTCATATTTTCAAAACGCTCTCTTACCAACTATAGTTGGGTCCTATCAAAACCACTTGGATCCGGGACCCGATTCGCATGCGGCCAACATATCCAACGATGTGCCGAACTGGGCGGCTAGATCAAAACGGATAGGACCGGATCGCGAAGGAATTATCAAAATAGCGAAGGATGGACGAAAGTCTGGAACTGTTCAAATCGTCTCTAAACCTATAGAAAATACATTAATACGACAAAAAAAAAAAAAAAAAAAAACGAACACGTACTGTTTTCTGTTTGGAAATAATGTCGTCAGTGTAATAATATTATTGTTGTTGCGATTAAAATCTACCGGCGAGCTTGAGTTGAAAAATAATAGTGTCGCATAACAATAGGTATCGCACACCGACTGCAGGATAAAAATTAGTTGCAAACTTTTACAATAATTCTGATTTGTTTTAAGTATACATGCGCGTTTGTCCGAAACCGTACACCACATTATTACAACCCTCACTATAAACTTTTGCGCTTTCACGTTATTTATGGCGTAAAAACCTCTGTACTTGAGGCAATTTCGAAACCCTGTATATCATATATGTATTAATTATTGTTCGTCGCGGTCACAAACGTATCGCGTAGCGTTTTGATTTTTCCGACCATGAAAAACGGGACGGTACAAAATAATGGCGTATATCACAAGCAAATTTAATTTTTTTTTTTTTTTTTTTTTTTTTTTCTGACCGAGAGAACATTCTTTCGCTTTTATAACTTTCGACGAGTTAAATTACATTTCTTTTCTTTTTTTTTTTTTTTTTTTATCGTTTAACCCCGGATGCTCGATGATTGCCGTGGAAGGTAACGAAGAGATGAGGGATGGAGTCCCCCTACTGATTCAAGATAAAACTATCCGTTCCTTTTAGTTTAAGTCTTCGACGTCCCGGCGGAGTTTTTTGCGTTGAAATGTGTTGAAATGTATGTATACATATTATATTATTTAAAATATTACTGAATTATCAACGGCATGACTTTTTCAAAACTTTAACAGACGGAAAATAAAGTGAAATAAATAATAAGTTTATACGATATACGGCATTAATTGATAATTAGTACAATGCAGCATGCACGTCTGTATAAAAAACAATATTTCTGAAATAGCATAAAAATTTCAACTGACCGTTTCGTATACAATTAATATAGTAATATAATATTATATAGTTACTTAGTTTTAAGATTTATCAAACTTGCGACGTTTTACATTTTTAATGAAACATTACTAACTCAAACCAGTTTTGTTCAAAATTGATTTTTTTTTAATGATCTGCATACTCGTCTTCATAATCAGACCGTTTACTTAATTTTTACTTAGCAAGCATGTGTGTAGAATAGATTTTTCGGAAGGGAGTTTATTTTCAAATCGTTTTAAACGTAAACTTTTTACAAACTATTGATGTCTGAGATAAAAAAAAATTCTGGAAGGCTCGACTCCTGAAAGTTTGGTTGCATTTATAGTTAGCGTTCCGGTAGCTTTGTCACATAAACTTAGTTATCCCTGAAATTGCAAAGAAAATGATTGCAGCACAATAAATACATTAAAATAACGTTTAGTATTTTCACGATAATAATAATAATAACGTAAAATAGAAATGTGCATTTTTCGGAAATTATACAGAAATCGAGCAAATTCGTGAGCGGCAACGTTACAAACGCTTAATCAGCGGCTTGCTCGTGAAACGTTCAACGAGAGGGGATGTAGTGAACACATTGGGTAATCACGGCCGATGGATCAATCGTAGAATCAATCTTCTTTCGCCATATTCAACTCGACAATGAAGATAGAACGCCGGTGAATCGAGAGCGAATCGGACGTAGCCTTAGGGGCGAGGTCTTTAGATTACAAAAAAAAAAAAAAAAAAAAAATGCATTAATCGGAAACTGTTGTTACCGGGAATCTGAGCCGATATTTCGAGAACCGGAACCTGTAAATCCGTCAAGGTTCCGGTATCGACCGGTTTATTGATTCCAGTATCTAAAAATGCATATTGTACGCGGTAACTCGATCGACAGTGTTCTTATTTCTTTCCCCCGGTTTTAAACCAGAAATAGCATATCAATGCAAATTCGCCGACACACACGCAAACGCATATAAAGAAAAATATAAAATCGCGTCAGTGTAATGCCCCGCGCACCGGTATATACTACGCGATTTATAATACCGAGCTACTGTAATTATTATTTCGAGACAAATGGTTGTCGGGGCACACATTCGGTGAAGTTTATTTCGGAAATTATTTTAATCGTTGAAACACTGCGCGGCGGCGTACAAAACATAATGCATTTATATTTCGCGGCGGGCAACGATCCGAGCGATGTATTGCCGTTTTCGACCCTCGGAATTGGTCCGAAAACGAATACGCGTCCCACAATATTACAATTATTGTTATTATTGTGATCAATGATTGATGAAAACCAACGGCGTTGTCGGTCACGCTACATTGAAAACGTTGCACGTAAAAAAAAAAAAAAAAACTACGCGTTAAAATTGTAGGTAAGGGTACACTGTATAGTTCACGTTATGCGTAATTGGATTTTTAAGTGTATCGTATTTTTCATTACATTATCTTAATAATGTCGCGCACAAATTATCGTGTAAAAGAAAGAAAAAAAAAAAAATGTTGAATGCGTTTCGCGTTGTTGTCGTCGTTTGTGCATTATTGTGCGTTTGAATTAATTAAATCCTACCTACGACAATTAATAATAAAGTGCAGGCGGATACCGGCTCTATACCTATTCCGCGGCGTGATACTTTGTTATTTTTTTTTTTTTTTCATTTTATTTTCATTTTAAGAGGAAACAAAAATATATAAACTCGTTTCGTACATTTTTTTTTTTTTTAAGATACGTTTTAAAATTGTTTTATTTATATAGTGATAACGTAATAAAATCATATCATAATATTTAGGCTAAAAACTAAAACATTAACATAATATTATCATTAAACTTGAACGCCACTCGCGTATAGTTTTAATATTATTATTATTTATTCAAGGATATTCAAGGATTATTATTATTTTAATTTTTTTTTTTTTTTTTTTTTAACTAGAATATGTTAGGGATAAACCCCTGGCTGCAGTAGAAATGATACGGAAACATTGTTTAGTAAAATGTCAGGTCAACCACCATTGGACTTTAAAAAAAAAAAAATTAAAAAAAGATTTTTTCCGTGTAGTATTATAATATTTTTAAAATGTCAAATAAATTAAAGCTTAGAATAAACCGCAAACAAAAAACGTATATTCTCTACGTAAGTAAAACAGAAAAAACAAAAATATAATAATAACAATTTTTTAGATATACCTGATATAATTATCAAACTATTAAAGTTCGAATTCTTAATACTTTATAGTTATAAACTTATTTAAACGAAATTATATAGATGTAATATATTATGCATATAGATACTTTTCTTCTTCTGTTGTACAAGATAAATTATAACAATAAGTCCGAGTATTATATTTTATAATTATATTTGTTAAACCGACTTCGATTTTATTTCTTAATTAAATTTAAACGTGAATATCTATAAACGTTGATAATTTATTCGCTTCGTTTACTACAAACATCGTGTGGAAAATAATAATTTATTTTAAACACAAAAAAGAAAGAAAACGCGCGCCTAATAATTATGACAAAAGAACCGCGCCACATATTTTTTTATTAAAAAAAAAATAAACCTACGCACAGTGTGTGTCGGAACGATTATACTATTGGAATTCGCATTTCGTTCGAACACTTTCGCAAAATAATATTCTAGCGCGTGAAAAAAGCACCGAGCTGAGATGTAATCTTCACGGTGCATAACGGGCGTTCATTGGCGCAGGGTAAGTATGGGTGAAAACCCGCCTGGCTTTTCCGTATTTACGCATTACGTATTAAAAACTCGACGAAATGGTCAATATCGTTAGAAAACAATACACCGCTCCTGGGTCTCGGAATTTTGAAGATGGACGACTGAGGACTACGACAGTCGGTGAACAATATTTAGAGGACTGAACGTTAATCGTAAAACGGTGCAGTTTTCCCTCGACGGTTGACATTCCGTTTTTGTCTTTTGCGCCAACACCGATAAATAATACAAAGATATTATACAACGGATAGAAGACTGTAATTTTATTATTATTGTCTAGAGACACTCGAGAAGTAAAACGAAACTTTATTTATTTAAACCGTTCGGGTAATGACTTAATTGTGATAACTTCTGCCGCGTTGTTGTGTATAATTAACTTTGAGTTACCGTAAACGTACATAACTTTACATACGAACTATGTTGAATATTGTATTTAGCTACTAAACAATTATTGAATTATTCGCAAACTAATCGCGTTGTCTTATGTATAAAATTTCAGATCCGTCTGTCTGTCTGTAACGCTTTTAATCTTATACTTAGACACAATTGTGGCGTTTTAATTGAAATTTAAGTTTAAACTCAAGCAACAAAGTTTAAGGAAGAGAATATTTTTGCTGGCTTGTACGTACCGTTTTTTTTAAAAAACAAAAATACAAGTGATCACACTATGTTACAGCCATGTTAATTTTCACGATATTTTTTAAATAGATTCTTAAACATTTTTTTTTATTTCTCATAAAAATCCAATTGCAATATCTAAACGCTGCAATTTATATCCTAAATAATAAGGCGATCTCGGTATGTTGTGCGTAAGTAAAACGGAAACAACGTGTGCTGGTGCGACGACATCTTTTTAATCGAAAAATTGTAGACATACTGCCCATACGTCCCGCATATTTATAAATTGTTCGCTGTAATAATTACGACTGCATAATAAACAAACGCTGAGTACAATCAGGTTTCAAAAATATTGTAAACGTATATAAAGAGTGTGTTTTTCGTTGCGATCAGACAAGTGCGATTGACGTACAGTGAATTGTTGTCGATCGATCTTTAACCGTTCAATATCGTTTAAATAAATATTTTAGTTTATATATAAGTCAGTTTTGCAGTTTCTGTACGAAATGATTATCGTTTCGTTAAAACGTAAAAAGTTTACGGCGTAAAAAATTGAAGCATTCGGACACGGAACATGATGGTTATGCATTATAATGTTATAAAATGCACAACGGATGTACTACTAGTATATCATAACAATCACCTCAATCGGTTGTGAATAGTTATGTTAGTATCCGGGTTAGCGGCAGTGGCGTTAAGAAATTATCGAATAATGTAATTAAGTTGTAATATTTATTATGTAAAACCCGCCGTCGTGAAAGGGAAAAAAATATAATTTTTTTTTTTTTCATGAAAGTGCATATTTTAACTTGTAAAGTGAAATAAAGAAACTGTCACCAGTGTTGTAAAGTATTCGAGAGTAGTGTTTTTAATATTATTATTATTTTTTTTTTTTTTTTTTTATATATATAACACGGTGGGTGAATTTTATATTTTACTGGATAATGTAGTTGTGTAATATAACGTTATGGTATACGAAAGTGTATAATGCAGTTTTGGTTTTATATAAAAGCCTCATCTTTGTGAATGCTCGGAGAAATTCTTTCGGATATTCGCTATTTCGTGGGTCAGAATAGTTTGTTGTTTTTTTTTCAGTCAAATGTGAAGTAGGTAACCGTGTGTCGGTCGATAAAACGATATTTTTCTTAGGTTTTTTTTTTTTTTATTTTTATCGAACATCGTAAAAGAAAATTGCATATCGTTATAATACAAGTTTGGTTTCGAAATACCTAGCGAAAGGGTTTTCCTTTTTTATTTCTTCTAACGATATTGGTTGGTGAACAGAGTTAATAAATATCATTCGACAAGAATCTGAATAAATGCATTTTCATTTTTAACCATGGATTTGACAAACGAATTTATATTGTTCTTTCATATCTTTATAATAATTTAGAATAGTGTGAAGTGCACTGCAGCGGTCATCAAGACATCTGCAATTAATTTGGGTTCTTATTAAGCACGTTTCATCAGTGTTTTACACTGGTCTTTACCTATATTGACGATTTAAGCGTCTATTAGTGCTTCGTCTGTGTAAAATCTTTATCGTTTTAATCGACTTTCATAACGCCGTTCAATCATTTATTTCTTTGTTTTCTTTTTGCAGTTTCCATTCAGTTATTCCCTTCCGCGAATATAAGTCGTTTGACCGCACGTTTCACCCTGTGCCGAAACGACATTGCGGCACCAACCACAGTAGTAAGTATACGGCGGCGTTGTATTTCACTGGAAATCGCGGGAATTTATTCCGGGTCGAAACGCGAGAGTTGCAATCGCTGATGAGAGTATTCGAACTCTCCGCTAATTTTTAGACTTCGGTCGGGTCGTGTTAGGTTAGGATCATACATAATACGACCGAGTTTTCGGCGAGGTTATCTCGGGCAGTCTCTCGAAAATACACTCTAGACCCCCACGTTCCGTCCGGAAACTATATGAAATATGATCAAGTATTTGACCCGACGCGAAACCAAATAGGGTATACTACACAAATATGCGAATAATATAATAATACAATATGTATATTTTACGCAACTGTACGAATTTGCGCACAAAAATAATTGAAATTAATATCGAATTTAGGTAACACGTGGTTAAATATATTTACATATGGTTAGTTTATGTGAATTCTCCAATTAAAACGGATTTTTATTAAGTATCTAAAATACTATAACCGAATATCTACCGAATTGAACAGATAAAACGTAATTGTTCAATAACAAGACGGAAATAATATCGAACACCAATATGTGACCCTATCGATATTAACCAACCTAAAACTACCATGTGAAAAAAAAAATGATTCCAAAAATCGCAATAACCCATCTTCGAAATCTTTTCGTCTGATTTTAATTTCGTTCGTGATCATACTGTCGATCATTTTAATTTATAAGACAAAATTGTCAATTAAAGGGCCACCGTGCAGAAAATTCGCATATTTTATAATATGGTACCCACGGCAGATTTGCAACAATTTTAGTAAATAATCGAGAAATCTCTGAAAAACGGCAACACTCTGCACACTACACTCACTACACACACTAAAACTATAGTACAAGAGAAGAAAACTTTATATTTTCAATAATTAATTAGGTATGTATACCGTTTTCATTTATTCTTTCGTGACCGATTGTTATAATGACATCCATAAAACGGACGTTTTGAAATGTCGAAAAATATATAATGATTATTTTATTATTACTAAAACAGTAAATCCATTATAGTTTTAAAGACGTTCGAAAGGGAGTACGGGGTTATGTACGCGTTATACTTGTACAAAGGTTGATTTTCATCGGGAGGCGTAACAACCCTCGGCCTTAAATTATATACACTCAAAGGCTTCCCGCGAAACGGTTATTGTTAAGAAATCCAATTCCGGTTGCTCGTATATTAAATATACGTAAGACTGCGGCAACGCAACGATGTCGTGGCTAAAGTGTTATTTGTAAAAAAAAAACAAAAAAAATAAAAAAGATAACGAAAAGTTATTTGCGACCATTGATTTCGTTTGTTGCCAATATGTAAACTGTAGCTGCCCGAGTCCGTCGGATTTCGAATATTTGGAACATGTTTTAGTGTTATACATTGCGCTATGCTCACGCGTATATATTATTATTGCTGTTGTTGTTGTTGTTGTGGAACACGTCCAAACGGGTGTTCCGCAACGGCCTTGTATAATATATTTCAAGAGTCGAATAAATTAAGAGCCGAATTAAACGGTTCGTTTAATTGCGTGCTGGGTTCGCTAAATCAAAATAAATGTTATAGCCCTCGGGAAAAAAAAAAAACCCTTCTTTTCCGGCCTATAATTCAATTAATTATCGCGAAACCCAATAATCCCGGATAGGGTAGAAAACATTTAATGCTTCGGATATCCGCGCACAATTTAAAACCGTCATCGCCGCAACGGTGGTATTGATAATAGAGTATTATGAATAATAGCCGGCCGATTGAAAAATATAAAATTAAATAACACACAAAACCGACCGGGACGGGCCGAAAAATATTTAATTTTGTTATTCAAAAACCGTATATCAAATATTATTGCGCGGCAGTATCCGTATATTTCTTATATATTATATGTGGTTTGAAGGTGATCAAGCAATTACAAGTTTCTATTACATATTGAAAAAAACAATAACTAAACTTTCTGAAATTGCTTGTATTCCGAGCGGAGCTAGTCTGTAGACAACTTTTCTTCCAGCAATTTTGTTCCGATTTTTATACGTAGCAATTTTTCTGATAGGAAATCAGTCTGAGGGGGTACTTTGAGCAAGTCATTTTTTGATTTACCCAGGAGTTTTCCCAGTACTTAGATGGAAATACCGGAGAAAAAAAATGGGAAAATTTACGAAATGTATTATTTTAAAATAGTAATTACAGTTTTTCAAAACATGTATAACCGAAATCCGCTCAGAATCGTTTTTAACTAGCAAAGATTAATCTCTGCGTACAGATAAACATTACATTTCCCTCTACATCCTACCTTCTCAACTTCTTAACTATAACAGTTGCTTAATCATCGTGCGAAGTGTGTCCGTATCTTTTTTTTTTGTGTTCATAATATATTATATCAATATGGAAATATCTTATTTTTCTCTATCTCATATTTCTTCAAAAACTATCCAACACTACTTTTTTTCCATACATTTCTATCATTCATGCATTCTCGCCGACCAATATTTTTCATTTAGTCGTCATCTTAAATCCTGTCCAACCAACGTTTTCTCGGACACTCTTTTTGTCTCACCATATTCCTTAGCTGCTCCTATTCCGTCATTTTTTCCCCGTGCGTCACATGTCCAAATAATTTCAGTCTCGACTGTCCTTTGTTTTATTAATTATCGTTATGCATGGTAATTTCGTTATCTCGCGTGTTACGCAGCTATTTGTTGTAGCTCCCGAGTTCTATTTTCACAAACTAAAACCGCACCTCGTCACCTCGTATTCATCGCAAAATTTTGTTTTCAAATGCAATTAAACTTTTAAAAATTATTTTTGTCAAATCTTCAAAAGCACAGAAAATTTTAGAAACCGAATGTTCAGGTCCCAATGGATACTTGCCCAGAGCTTCCCAACAATTAGCCAGTATACGTGTCTATTTTGTTAAATATATCGAGTGCGGTCTCAGTTATCGTCATGTTATTGTTGTACGACGACAGTCTAATGCCAAAGTTTTTTAAAGGTGATAGTACAAATACGCATGCAATATAATGTTATTATAATTGGTACATTAGCCACCAACTTCGATCGCCGCCCCGTCTATTACACTAACGATAATTCGTGGAGATTGTTTGAAAATTATAATTATTATTACCGTTCGCGAACTAGAACAAGTATCATAAAACAATAATTTAAGGCCAACTGTAGGTTTAATACCGACGCGTCAAAAGATCCGTCCGATTAACGTAACTCACATCGATTAACAATATTATACCGGCCGCACAGTTGGGTCGCAGATATTTTATGATACGATTTGGCGTAATAACTTTTGTTGTTTGATCGAGAGGAAAAAAACAGCCAACCGTTACGTGTTTCGTAAGTTTTCTATTGCCCAGTGTTCTAATTATAACTGGACAAATCTTGTAATTAGATTAGAAGCAAAGCGGTTGTAATATCATATCGACACTGCGACAGCGAAATGCGTCTAAAGAAAATAGACGCGTGCGGCATATCGACTGCTCGCCCGGTTTAAAGGTAACAAAAAAAACCGCCGTTTTTTGTCACGAGGCGGCGACGGCGGTGGTAACTTATCCATTACGATGATTACTTTTAATACTATTACTATTTTTAGTACTGTAAACAAGTATAAAGGTACTCACGTTCACGCAAAACTGGTGCTGATTGATGCTTGAACTGGTTTTCGATTTTAGCGTTGCATCCTGTGAACACAAGAAAACGTACAAATAATTAACAAAAACAATTTACAAAAATCGAAACTTTGCGTTCAACGACATCGGTGGTGGTTTTTTTTATTCCCCTCCGGGGAAAAATTATAAGTCAATTCGATCAAAGGCCATATCGCGGCGCGCGTTTGTTTAGCACGTGCCACGCTATCGTAATAATATATTATCGTTATATTTTACTCTCCGGCGACGGTGAAATTGTCCGTACGCGCCAAAAACCATCACTGTGCATTTTCGCAGCAGATATCGTCTGCAGAACCCGGGTAATGGTTAGCTATCCTGGTCCGCTCGTTATCGGGCCGCTGCTAGGACGAAAAACGGTATATACGCCAAAACGGTTGATTGTCTTCGGGTTTCCGGTTTCTCCCGAACGGCCGAAACAAATCCGTTTCCGGTCCACGAGCTGCGGTCGAGCTTAATTTCGAAATAATAATTCACTTTGGGTAAACGTACCGGAATAATATTATAATATAAAAGTACATTTAACGAACTCGGGCGTCGCTATATCAGTGTATAGTGTATACGGTAACATTATATGCCGCTGTTTATAAGAATATTAGGGAAACGTCTGGAACAAATTAATAATCTTTAAGAATAAAGTGACGACGAATTTTGGGGCAAATTTGTCAAAAATATAATGAAATATCCACAATTTATTATAATATTATCAATATAATAAACCGGGGATTTGGATAGTTCGTTATTACTGAAGTAACTTGACAAATCAACCAATTTGTTTGATTCATTTATGCATTAAAGTGTATTCTCTCGAGTTACCCGAAAGTAAAACTCGGTACGCCTAAAATATTCACAAAAACAATTGTAGCCCGGTAATTTTCACGTAATTTTCAAAAATAATATTATAATTTTGGAAGTATTCAAAACTGACAATTGAAAATCGACTTCCTAATAAACCTAGAAAATGTATCTATACAATAAAAATAAAAATTAGTTTGAAACGTATGAAAACTAGGTGCGATTTTACACCCACGAACCAATAGCTCGCTCATCATAAATCGTAACTGCTACTCTGTCGTCCTGTTTTTTGGAAGCGTTACTATTATATTTTGTTACGTTTAATAATAATAATTGTTGGTGCGATTTTTTTTTTTTTTTTTGATAACCATATAATATAATTTTACAATCGCAAGCATTCTTGTTCATTTTTGTAATGGAAGCATAATGTGATATAACATCGAATGAAGAAACGATTACTGGGAAAAGAGAGAGAAGAGTGGTAAAGATACCACTGCCGCCCCTTGAAACTCTGTAACCCCGATCGAGTATAATAAAAGGGTTTTTTTTTTTTTTTTCGTAAGTATGATTTATTATATATTTTGTTTTCGGGGACGGAGCGAGAAGACCTTATCATATTTACTACCCATATGTGACCCGCAGAGATAAACTGACGGATAAGTATTTTGTATGCCGCGTGAGGGGCGTGGACACGACGCAGTTGTGTATGACCGGAGTCGATTTCCATAAATAAAAAGTGATCCGTAATCGCCCGACTCCCGTCAAGTACGAAGCGTGCATTTGAATCGAAAAAAAATATGTCGAAATTAGATTGTTTGTATTATATGCGTGGGCAGTGGC